CTGGGGCAGCTGGTGGATCAACAGGTGCTGCCCTCGCTGATCTGCCTCTACCACGACCACAACTGCGTCCTCGGCCTCTGGTGGTCTCAGCTGGTGGCACTGGTGGTCGTCCACCCCGCCCGGTAGCACGTGTCCTCACCATCTGTGAGAGAATGGAATAACAAAAGTTTAGTACTCGGATCAACAAGTTCGCACGATAAGAATTTCAAGAATATGAAGTTTTTCCTAAAGGTTCTGCAGCCTCTCGAGGATAAATACAAACGTCTCTGTACCGATCCGTGAGACTCTACTAAACCTGCTTATGACTCGTGAGACCTATGTAACCTAGGCTCTGATACCAACTTGTCATGACCCTAAACTCGAACCCGATCGTGATAGCACCTCCGTGAAGACAAGGCCAACCAATTAAACCCAATTCACTTTTTAAAACAGTTAATCAACATAAAAATAGTCTAAATATGATTTAAACAATACTGAATAGCGGAAATATCGATAATAATGCGGAAAGTCCAACCCGACACAGTCCTAACCGGGGTGTCACAAGTCACGAGCATCTCTAAACCATAATACTAGTCTGCTAAAGTCATAAACTACTACAAGTGTTTGAAAGGAAACAGAAATGATAGAGAAGTAGAGACATGGGGTTGCGGCCGTCAACAGCTACCTCATAGTCTCCGAAATCCGCCTGGAACTAGAGGAATCAACACTCAGGAGTAGTACCAGCTACGCCTGAATCTGCACACAGGGTGCAGGGAGTAAAGTGAGTACTCCAACTCAGTGAGTAACAAATGTAAATAACGACTGAAAGTAAGAAAATACGTAAAACACAAGGCATTCTATACTGAAGCAGTAAAAATCACTTAAAAACAATAAAATAGTGAAGAGTCAAGTAAATCCCTTTTCAACAAGTAAAACAAGTAATTGACAGGTAAGTAAACAAATAGAATTTCGGCCCTCAGGCACAATATCAACAAATCTGCCCCTCGGGCAATATCTCAGAACAGTACCAACCCCTCGGGCTCAATCTCAGAAGAATATCAACCCTTCGGGCTCGATCTCACATCACAATGGGTACCCACGATCACTGGGCATGTACAGACTCCGGGAGAGGCCCCTTACGGCCCAAGCACAATATCAAGCCATCTCGTGGCATGAAATCTAGGCCCTCGGCCTCATATCAATCAAGCCACCTCGTGGCGTATATATGCATCTCAGGACCTCGGCCTTATATTAGTATCAGTGTATCCTCACAACTAGGCCATCGGCCTTACTCAGTCCGAAAATCATTACAAGCCCCTCGGGCAATAGTAAAACAGTATCTCTCAGCCCAAAACATCATTTAAGTCTCAAAATTGAGTAAAAAATGGCTGAGTAGTAAAATGGTGGAAAAATAACGGGACTGAGTTCAAGAAATAAGTCAAAACAGTGAGGAAATGGTAATAAAAATCCCCGAAGGGTTCAAATCGTTGGCACGAAGCCCAAATATGGCAATCAACCCAAATCATGATGATAGCAAATAAGTTTCAGTCAAATACGCGGTAAAATCATCAGTTAGGACGGACCAGGTCACAATCCCCAATAGTGCACGACCCCACACTCGTCATCAACCGTGTGTCTTACCTCAATATAGTACTACGATGTGCAATCTCGGGTTTCAAACCCTCAGAGCATCATTTACAATCATTACTCACCTCGAACCGGCTAAATCTCTAGCTCGCGACGCCTTTGCCCCTCGAATCGGCCTCCACGCGCGTCAAATCTATCCAAAATCAGAACGAATACATCACAATATGCTAAGGGAACAAAGCCCAAGCGAAAACAATCGAAAAATACCAAAAATCCCGAAATTGGCCAAAACCCGAGCCCCGGGCCCACTTCTCAAAATTCAGAAATTTTCACAACAACGGGTTCCATATCTCCCCACGAGTTCATACATATCAACAACATCAAAATCGGAGTCCAAATGACCCCTCAAATCCTCCATTAAAGACCTCCTAAACTCAAGCCCTAATCCTCCATTTTTAGCCATTTAATCCCATTAATTATAGCCTTAATTCATGAAATTCTACCATAGAAATGTGTTTTAGGTCCAAAATTCTTACCTTAACGAAGTTCCCTTGAAATCCCTCTTTCAAATCGTTCAAAAGCTCTCAAGCCGAAGTCAAAAATGGTGAAATAACCCAATTTCGTGAAATGATCTAACTTATATGTTCTGCGCAGGTATACCCCCATCTGCGGTCCAAAATCCGCTTCTGCGGTACCGCATTTGTGGTTAACACTCCGCTTCTGCGGAAATCACTAAAGTCGGCCACTACCGCATCTGCGATCCTTCTTCCGCATTTGTGGTTCCGCAGATGCGGCCCCCACAATTGCATTTGCGGTTTCGTGACAATCCCCTCCAAAACCGCTTTTGCGGCTTCTCCCTCGTATCTGCGGCGCCGCACCTGCGGCCCCCAAACCGCAGGTGCGAAAACACCAGAAGCAGCAAATTTTCTGCAATCTCCCAAGTTTCAAATCTTCCCGTTAACCATCTGAAATCACCCCGAGACCCTCCGGGACCTCAACCAAAAGCACACACATAACCCAATACCTTATTCAAACTTGTCGCAATCATCAAAACACCTCAAACAACATCAAATCTACCAAATCACATCGGATTCAAGCCTAAGTTTTAAAAATCTTCCGAAATATACTTTTGATCAAAAATTCAAACAAACCACGTCCGAATGACCTGAAATTTTACACACACATCCCAAATGACACGAGGAAGCTACTACAACTCTCAGAATTTCATTCCGACACCTATATCAAAATCTCGCCTAACAACCGGAAATCGCCAAAATATCAACTTCGCCAATTCAAGCCTAATTTTACTTCGAACCTCCAAAACCCATTCCGATCTAGCTCCTAAGCCATAAATCACCTCCCAAAGCTAACCGAACCATCGGAACTCGCATCCGAGCCCTCTAACACATAAGTCAACCTCCGGTTGACTTTTCCAATTCAAACTCCCTTAAAAGAGACTAAGTGTCTCAAACCTCACCAACTCATTTCGGACTCGATCCGACCAACCCGATACCACAAAAATACGGATAACGAAACATAAAGAAGCTGAAATGGAAAAAACGGAGCGGTAACTCATGAGACGACCGGCCGGGTCGTCACAGTAGTATTGTGTCGCGCTATATGTATTCACTTTTTCTGAAACGAAACAACTTTTTTGCAGTCGGTCAGCTTTTCAGACCGACAAGACAACACATAAAATGTAGTATTGTACCGTGCTATACATATTCACTTTTTCTGAAACGAAATAGCTTTTCTGCAGTCGGTCAGCTTTTCAGACTGACAAGACAACACACAATTTATGTTTTTAAGTTGATTTGAGACAAATTGTGTTATTTTTAAAATTATTAGACGCGCTATACATATTCACTTTTTCTGAAACGAAACAACTTTTTCGCAGTCGGTCAGCTTTTCAGACCAATAAGACAACACACAATTTATGCTTTTAAGTTGATTTGAGACAATTTGTGTTATTTTAAAATTATTAGACGTATTATGCTTAATGTTTTAGTTTGTGACATTAATTTGAAGTATTACGTTGAAGGCATTGAACTTTAATTTGAAGTATTAAATGTAAACTTTAATTTGCAACTTTGATACCNTTATATAAGCTATATAATTTACAAGAAATTGCCTTAGATAAAAAAAAGTTTTAAAAAAATAGTCAAGGCCCGTTTAGGCCTGTTTGGGCCCAGGCCCGACCCACATAGCCCGAGACCATTACTACACGATCCCGATCTGGTTACATGCAAAAGCCCATGAAGCCCGGGTCCGTTTAAGCCCGGACCACGAAGATCGGGTCCATTTGAGCCCGGATCGTTTGAGCCCGACCCGCAAAGCCCGTTTGGGACCGGACCCGGACCGAATGCCAGCCTTAATTTAGTATATGAACTGAGTGTAAGTTTTTTTCTTTTCTTTCAATCCTTGTGTCATGGAATAAAAGAAGTTCGTCAAACAAATAATTAGTGAATAAACTCGAACTCAAGAGAGTTAGGTTATTCCGTGCTTATATTTTTTAAATTTTGGTGTATTAATAGCAATTTCTCTTCGTGGTCTGCTCCGAGATAATTTTCTCGTGCTTGAAAGTTGGATCGTGAGTGGACAAAAGGGAATTACAAGAAGGAACCAATGCACTTATTATTATTTTTTTTAAAAGTCTTAGAAAGGACAAAAATAAAATTATAAAATCTATTTCCATGAAAAAATTGAACCACCGTATCTAAGTACAAAATTATTTCCGTTATATGAATGCCCATCTCCCCACCAAAATGGTTATATGATCGTTAGCTCTATAATTGGAAACATTTTTTTTTTGTTTGAAAGCCGCAAAAATTGAGGGGGGGAAAAATTGTTTTCAATCAAACGCCATTAGAAAATTTATTTTGTTCAGATTTTTCAGAAAATTGAAAAACTACTTAAGGTAGAGAAAAACTTTTCCATATTGGTGCTTAGTAGGAAAAAAAATTCTGAAAAATCAACAAGTTTTTTTTTTTTTTTTTTAATTCTGAGATAGTTCAACAACTATTCTTGTTTGCACTGAATCAGCACTTTATTATTGCTGTTTTGTTTGATTTAATTTAGTAAGTTTCTTTATCGTATAAAAGACAATGCGTATAACGATTCATTCACTTTGGTAGTTCTTTACCCATTCAATTGTAAAGTTGTTTACCCTAAAAATTGGATAACAATTAAACTTATAATGTGATTTTAAGGATACATGATTTCGGCTAATACCAATTGATAAATACAAAGATTAATAATAAAAATTGACAATAAAATAAAGCAAACTAGTGTTTGAACATAATTCAGCTCTCGAGCTTGAATACCCTCGAGCTTTGTTCGAGAACGATTAAAATGTGACAAGCTGATGAATAAGAGAATGTAAGTTAAAGTGAGAATATAAGATGGGAAGTATTGTATGCTTTGATATGCGTGAATGTGAGGTGTCTACAAAGTGGTTAAAACCCTCTTTATATAGTAGAGTAATTCTAACGGTTTCTGACACCAAATATTCTCCCTCCTCTTACTCGCCCGATTTGAGATATAGCACGCGATTGGAAGGTTCTGGAGAACGATTGTTGGATGAGTGTGAGGCGTTGGATTGATTTCACTCAATCTGAGCCTCACATTTATCAAGGGCTCGTTGTCAAAAGGGACCAGATCCAATTTTGTAAGGGGAGGAGGATTCAGAGGGATTTTTAGAGAGGATTTTGGAAAAGAATTTGAGAGATTTTTCTTCTTCAGCTTTTATTGTTCTTTTATTTCTGATACTGGAACAACAAAAAAAATCATTGAGTGTTCGGCTATTTCATTTCATGTCAATTATTGTTTAAAGTTTTTTTTTTCGAAATCTCTAGAGTCCGTCTTCTTCATTTTGATTCTGGATTTTGGTTTAAAAATGGAAGTCATTTGAGAAGTTCAAGGTTGTTGCTGCTCGAGGGTTGATTTTCAGCTGCTATTTGCTTCCTTTTGGTCGATTTCAGTGTTGTATTAATTCAGTCTCTTATTTCCAGGTTCATTTCTTTCTTCCCTTTGGTTCTCGTTGTGAATCGATCTCTGAATGAACTATAAAACGTGTTGAAGTTTAAAGTAATAGTTGACATTTGTCATTTTTGCTGCTCTGTTCTTCTTGTTTTCAGCTTCTTCCATGATTTCACATGTGTGCTATTGAATGTCCATATAATCCTCTAGTCTTGGAATTCATCTAAACATGTAGCTGTGTGTGCTCATTTGCCCTTCTATCACTATTGGATCATGGTTTGTTTGGGAAAAATGTTTGAAATCTGGTTGCTAATTAGTCGAAGTTTAACTTTGTTCGGTTTTATTGTATCATGAGTTGTCAAGTTGGTGTGTTCTCGCTAGTTGAATCAGGTGAATGAATCATATATTGATCTGAAATTTCATGCTTGCTCATGTACTAGTCACAAATCAGTCGAGTTACGCGTAGTTTTCATTCATGCCTTTACGTTAGGAATGCATGACTATCTGGACACTAAAATTCCAATCAGTTGAACTAGCTATCTATGTGCTCACAGTTCTAGTGGTCTGCTTCACTTTTGGCCAAGATTGGCACCATTGCAGCTGTTACTTTACTGGAATTAGGACTAAATATGCATGTCTTGCTGTTTGCTGAAGTCAATTTGCTAGTTTTGTTCATGCCTATTGCTAAAAATGTATAGACCATTTGTTCGCTTTCTTGCTTTTTTCAAACATGAGTCAGTTGTGTCAGGCTATTTGAAGCGCTAGTTTCTGTTAGAGTATCTGCATTTGGCAGCTGTGATGGTGATAATCCTGCTTCTTAGATTTTGGGTTCAAAACAGAGGTTAAGTTGTCATGCGAAATATGTATGTACAGAACTGCATCCATTTTTCTTTTTCACTTGAATAACACTCTTGCGCTTGGATTTTGAAATAACTGAATCATCGTCCCTTAAGTTTCATAGCTTTCTTTTGCATATTCACCAATACTCGGACATGAACTGGGCTTTGAACGATTCCTGGATTGCCGCTAGCTTAAGTCCTTGATTTATAATTAAGTTTTGTTCATAGTTGCCCCATCGATTTGAGTTTCACTTCTAGAGTTAACAGTTCTTAAGAGGTTAAATATCTTGTAGTCTTCTCTTTTCAGTTTCTCCTTGTCCCATCGGCAGTAGTACTTTGATATGAGTGCCTATTTTACTCAGTTAACTTTATTTGGCAATGAAGCAGTAGTATATCAATGAACATTTCCCCAGCCCTCTTTGGCAATTAATTTCTCAGTTTGCTTAACAAGGGGAGTGGTCGCATTTGGATGTTCTGGGGGCTAAAGACAACTTGGTCGATCTGGGGATGAATATTTATGCTAATTTTTAAGTCTTGTTAAGTCAATGGAAATCCAAGTCGTGCTTTAGTTATAGTTGTTGGTTTAAAATCCATTTTTAGGGTATCAAATTAAGAATGAGTCAAACTGTTGCAATTGGTTTTTCATGTTTCAAATAGCTTTGTGCAGGCTCATTTCTCTGCCGCTGCGTTTAATTTTTTGAGGTTATGTGGAGTAAATCAAATTTGCCAGAATTTCTTATATTGTTGCATTCACCGGAAGTTCTTTCTATTTAAACAAATCTGGTGCCTTGGAGTGTTTTATTAGCCAGGTTCTTTCATAGTAGTTGCTTGATTTTGTATTCAATTTGTACTCCATGACAATGAAACACTATTGAATGTATGAAGAAAGAAAGTCAGAAGAGTTTGGCATTAAAAGTTTGTCCAGTATAGTGAGACAGGGGTCAGTTTATTTTCTGTTCGTTCATCAAATTGTTTTCTTTGCTAATGATGTCCCTATCAGTTTAAGTTCAAATCATATCTTATTATTTTACGTATTGATGAGTATTCAGGAATTGTGCTTGGATGATTAGATTTGAGTTGGGCGCCCTAAGCTAAAAAGGGTTGATGACGTGAGTTTTTTTAGTTGATTTATTTGACCTCGCGGAGTTTCAACTGAGTTTAGATTAGTAATTAGTCTTTGAATATTTTAACTTGCTCTAGGCGCGTCATAATAAAACATCACAACTACGGGTACGGTTCCCGTGACGTAGTCGTGACATTTATTTTCTAAAAATCCGGGGGTACATTCATGTGACCCGGCCACAATTTAATCTTGTCAATAAAGTAAACATGTTATGGATCGTGGGTACGATTCCCGTGACATGATTCGCAATGTGTAATCAAATAATTAATTGTATAATAATTAGATTATTAAAAGCGGTTTTAAAAGGAATAAAATGCACATAGGTTTCAAAGATGTTTTAAAATCAAATAAATAGGCCAATAATAACAGTTGAGCAACCGTGCTAAAATCACGGAACCCGGGAATGCTTAACACCTTCTCTCGGGTTAACAGAATTCCTTACCCAAATTTCTGTGTTCGCAGACTTAAAACAGAGACAATCTTCTTCGATTTGGGATTTGAAACCGGTGACTTGGGACACCATAAATTATCCCAAGTGGCGACTCTGAATAAATAAATAAATCACGTTTTGATTGTCACTTAAATTGGAAAAAACTTCCTTATACCCCTTCCGGGGTGGTAAAAAGGAGGTGTGACAGGTACAATTCTAATTACGGAAGTAAATCCCATGATTAGCCTGAACAATCGCCCTTGATCAAATTTGTTCCGGGATTTCCGCCGTGATCTTCGACCGATTACGAATATCTCGTCTTTCCGTTATTGCGCCTTGCTCGAAGTCTGTCATATTTGGTCTTGATCGTTGCTGGCCTCGATCTCGACAGGCACTTCGATTCGCGAACTCGATACCTTGTCTTCGTGCTCTAGTCTGATCCATTACGAAGCTGACCCTCGATGCAATTCCCATATACAAAAGTGCTTGCAATATATTATCAAAGCTTCCACTGCATAAACAAGAAAGTAGGATAATGTTCCCAATAATGAATGGTCTACGTAAATGATTCAATTAGCCACCCATACCAAACCAAATAACCAAATCCACTAATGCTTTCAAAGTTGAGCCTGAGTTTTCTGCACTAACAGGTTAAAAAATTACCTACAACAGATAATTATACACCTAATTTGAACATATGAAATAAGAGTAAATAATTCGCTATAATAGGTAAAAAATATACTTAGGGGTCGTTTGGCTGGAAATAAGTTATCCCGGGATTAATTATTCTGGTATTATTTATCCTGGAATTAGTTATCCCACCCTTCCATAAGGATTAAAAAACACCACAATTCCGGGATAACTAATCCCGGAATTAGTTATACCGCGATTTTGTCCCCATAAAAAATGGGATAAATTCATCTCAAATTTAATTCCGGGATTAATTATCCCTTATCCCTCGTACCAAACGAGCCCTTATAGTGTTAAAAGAGCTTTACACTACCAATATATATATAAATTAAGTTCTTGATAAAATATACTAATTACTCCTCTTGTGGGATTACATTGGGTATGTTATGTTGTTGATAAAATATACTAATCATACACTTTGCAGAGACCTTTTAACCAGCAAATATACTAATCATTTAAAAGAAATGATGCTTCCAGTTTCAAGTTCATGCATTCAAATCTGAAGTAAAATTCTTTCCTTTTCAACACTTTTTCATTACATTATAATCCTTTAAATAACTGCATTGGTTCTATCATGGAAAAACATATATTCATAATTTTCCAGCATTCCTGTTTAGCAAACAGCTCATCACTCAGGAAAGTATCCAAGGTATTACATTTTACAACATGTGACTCTAAGAGATATAAATTCAAATGCAAGAAATAACAGATCAATCTGGACATACATCATTAGTTACTAGTAGCTACTCAGCAAAAAAGACGTAAAGTGCAGATTTCAGGCAACTTAGCAGAAACATTTTACTTGTAGTTCAGGTTTTCAAGATCAAGCTAACATAAAAAAAAAAAAAGAGTAAACAGCAGCAGAAGTTTGAAATCTGCCATAGAATATTACTACAATTTCTTACGATTGAAGAGGGAGCTTGCACTTTCAGAAGATCAAGCGCAGATAGGAAAATTTTGCTCTTGGATTATCAGACAGAAGAAAGTAAAGAACTACTTCATGAGGAATACAAACAATTGAATTTACGGAGAACAGGAACAAGGTAGTGAATAATTCACTTGAAAATATTAAAAATTCAGCTCACATTGTGAACAATTGTCTTTGATCTGAGAACATACCTACTATGTTAAACGTATTCCGATGAACATAAATAGAGAAGATTATAAACAAATCGAATCATTTTAACAGAATTAGCATCACCGGAGCAACAAAACTTTCTCCTTTCTACACCGTTTCTGTTACCCGAGGAAATTCAATGATTTCATCAAAATTTCCAAACTCAGGCGAACCATTACACATCATCTTTTGTCAGAGAAAAAAACAAGCTTCCAACTTCCCATCTGCAAAAACAAACATCAAAATCATGATTAGCTTCCAAACTAGCGTTGAGATAAATCATGATATCCAAATCTGAAACATGACTAGTCTTCAAAGTACAAAATGATGAATGTTTACCTTTTCAATGTACTGATCTTTAGGAACTTTGAATAAGTCAGGTGTAATTTCCGTCAACCACAACCCTGGAAATAACGTCTGCACTGAAACATCAATTCACATTACACTATCAAAATGATCATCAACAACAACTACTGCTATGTGCAAATTACAATCTTTTATATGTATTCCATATATTTAGTCCGATCATCATAAATCAAAAGCTTCAATTTATAGAGGAAATTTTTTTACTTACATCCAAATTCTTTTGAACAAATTTAGCTCGTTTCTTGGGTCTACGAGGTGGCCTATGTCCAACCATCGCCATGAAATCCTCCTCGATTTCTCCTCGCGAAAGGGGAACCAAAAACTTTACTCTCTGTCTATTCTCGCCGGCGGTAGAAGCTCCGGCGGCCGCTCCACCGGCAAATCACTTCGAAGTGTCGGAGATTTGTTTTCCGTCCTTAACAACGACAGAGCATTAGTTCTATTAGCATCAATCTTCAACCCTCCTTTCGATCCACCACCACCACTTCCGCCGGCACCGGCAACGAATCTGTTAGGCTCCTTACAAGCCGCACGCCGAGTCCTCAAGTTCCACAGCCTGGACAATTCACAGGCATATGATACAGCCGCCGTCGCAGTTTTCGCCAGCGGCGGAGACAGTTCCTTCTCCGGTTGCTCCTCCAAACCTTCTCTAAAAGTCGCATCTTTTATCTTATCAGCTTTCGTTTGGAGATCAAACATGAGTTTCTCTCTCACAGCTCCGATTCCCTCACCGGCATCCTCTTTTTCCGGTGGCCTGATTTTCCGATCATTTGACTGGCGCCATCCGATCGACACAGACCCATATGACCTGCGATGAAAGAGGACCATAACTTGTTTAAAGCCAGATCAAAAAATGTCAAAAAAATTTGGTCCATATCTCGATTTGTGGGTTTCATCCTTGCGCAGCAGGGGCTATATTAATCTTCTCCGAGCATTCCAATTTTGCTTTCATTTTCAAGCACTATATTTCCTTTTCTTTTTTTTCCTTTTTTCAATTATACAGCATACTCCTCCATTGTCCCTTCCAGATATAGATAGTTACTTCACCGTAGGTGTAACTTAATCGTTAACATTTTGCTTTTTATAAGATTTTGTTCCTCATCTATATTTTACACAATCACCTTTAATGAAATATAGGGTGTCAAGAACAATTATAACTCAACCAAGAATAATACAAAGAGCATGATTACAAGCCTTTTTGACTACTACCAAAAGAAAAAATATTTTCTTTGCTTTTCTTAGATCTCTGCAAAAAATTTCACCTAGGATTTCCATTCCTAGTTTTATTTGCTCGAAATCTCTTGAAGCTGATGTCAAGATTCTAAATTTAGAGGGATTAAAACGAGCTTGAACTAAGAACAGAAGGACAGTGGGATGTAGTTGAGTTAGAGAACAAAAGAGTATAAATTGATGCACAATAACTATTTATTGTATTCATCCAACAAATGCGTCCAATAAATGTACAAAAGAATGCCATCCTATATTTCCGCAGACATAACTATGTTTGTATATACACAAACAGTCATCCACTATTTCTCAACCTCACTATCATCACGCAAAATCACTTATAATGTATATCAGTAGCAGCTAATTGTACTAGTTACTACATTAACTTTCAACAATGGCTGTAAATATACTCAGTTTGGGTTTTCTTTTCTCGCACAATTTGTAGAACAAAATGACGATCAATTTCTGTATGATTTATTCGTTCATGGAAGCCAAGAGCAGCAGCTATCTAAATAATTGTTTTACTGTCACGAAAACATGAAAATAGCTACTTCACTCTCACATAAAGCATGCAATAGCAAGGATATCTCAGCTTATAACTCTCTAATCGGACCAATTATTTAGATGGTTAGTTCAACAACTAAACCACCCAAAGGAAATGTTAATGGATATTTGATAAAGCAAGAAACTTTTATAACAATTTACATAACCAAAGAGGGATAATGAAACAAAACAAAACAAAAATAATGAAACAAAACAAAAATAAGGAGGACGAAACAGACCTGAGATTGAATGTTCGAACAAAACCCTAACAAATTGAGGAGAGGAAAAGGAAAAAAAAAATTGGACCATTTCTCGATTTGTGCGTGTCATCCTTGCGCAGGGGCCATGCTAATCTTCTCTGTATCGTTCCAATTTTATCGGATGTCCCCGAAGGGACGAACTCCATTGTAGTTTTATGTTCTGGTCGGTATGGGACTAGCTGGTTGGGGGGCTTTTCGTCGGAATGGAATCAGAAAGCCTATTCCTTTTCTCGTTTAGTTAGTGTCTTAAAGCCCATTAGAAGATGGGGTGGAAAACAT